TGTATGACAGCATACCATGAGTTATGACAGCATAGTATTGTGCATGACAGCATATTGTGATGTACGGCAGCACAGTAGGATGTATGACAAGATAACATGATGCTTGATGATGCGTGGCAGCACAGTATGATGTAGGAGAGCCCACCATCATGCGTGACAGTCTAGTATGATACAGGATAGCCTACTATGATGTATGACAGCAAAGTGTGCGGATGCATGACAGCACAATATGATACAGGAGAGCACGGATAATGGTAATATAAAATCTGCTACAAATTAGTTTTGTTGGAGTAGTACCGTACGATTGATGACCTGATGCCATGATACACTGCATTCCGGGACGTAGGTTTGCACTCGGGAGGGTTTATCAGCATATCTAACGTCCGCCCAGTCGAGTGCGCTACATGGTTGCATGGGTTTCCGCTATCCAGGACCTCTGACTAGAGATAGCGCTACTTACAGACCTGGGAGCCTTTCCGGAGTATACCTCGTTGTGCCAGCGCGAAGCATTGCATACTGTATTATGTAATTGCGGATAAGACAGCAGATACGTTCCCAGGTGTGTGTATATATAATAAATATGTACCTATGTGCACATCTGTAAATATAACGGGACGCAGTAAACACGCGGGTTACGAAATAGACTGGTTTGGGAAGAGTGCCCAACCATCGCAAGGGGAACACCGCATACCAAGACACACGCAGGGAGGACGGAGGAAGCTGGGATCATATATCCTATATGTCTGTGTGTGTGTGTTTGTGTGTGCATGTACATATAAACATACATACATACATATATAAACATACATACATACATACATATATGTATATATAGAATACATATATATCTATATAAGTATATCCGGCCGAATTGACGCAGCAGTCTCTGGTTTTCGGGAGAGGGCCAGGCAAACGTCTCACTTGCGACACGGAAAAACTGTCACTTGTAACTCTGTCCCACTTGCATCTCTCATGTCTCCCTCGCAGCTCGGGGGAAAAAAAACTCACTTGTGGGGGCGGGGTGTGAGGCGGGGTGTGTGGAAACGTTCGTTTGCGCGCGGCACAAAGACATTTGCTACACTATGAGCCTGTCTTCTCTTGCACTGGCACACCAAAATGATCTCAATCTATCACATCTTCTCCAAGATGCATGGCTGGACTGTATGATTCAAAAGTCTGGATGAAGGGTTTTCTACCTTCTCAATGGTATGTGCCTGTCTCAACCCTCCTCCCTGTATCAAAGGTGTTTTTTTTTCCCCTCCTCAAAGGTCCTGGTTTCCCAACCGTATTCCTGGAAAACTTTCCCATGTTCGAAGGATTTCTCAAGGCCAAGTGTTTTCCCACAGTGAAGGTTCGCGCTCAAGGCTGCCAAAAAAATAAAAATTAAAATAAATTTCCCGGAAACAAACCCATACCCCGGGGAAGAACACTTGCGACCGAACATTGCAAATATGCATAAAACATGCTATGTGTTTTTCTCAATGGTATGTGCCCGTCTTAATTTCTTTAAAATTTTTATTTTTATTTTTTCTCCCCGGCGGTCCCGGAGAGGAACCCTTGGAATTTCTTCCCCCGGAGGTCCCGTAGAGGAACCCTTGAAACCCTTTTGCTCGTTTTTTCTCTTCGTCGTCTTTCGTCGTCCGTCGTATTTTAATGGGGATCCTTGAGACAGACACTTGACCTGAACAAGACCACAAACGAGAAAGTACCTTGGCGCAGACCTTCGAATGATGTAGAACGGCATGGTTCCGTATGACACATGGCAGCATCGTGTGATGTACGGCAGCATAGTATGAAAAATGAAAGCATACTATGATGTCTGAAACCATGGTATGATGCATGGCAGGACAGAATGATGTATAACGGCCTTGTATGATGCATGGCAACACAGTATGATGCATGACACAGCATGATGTGATGCATGGCAACAAAGTATGAGGTCTAACACCATGATATGGTGCATGGCAGGGCAGCATGATGTATGACCGCATGGCATGATGCACGGCAGCACAGTACAATGTATGACAGCCTGCTATGACGCATGGCAGGACAGTATGGTGTATGACAGCGTGGTATGATGCATGACAGTAGTAGTCGTCGTGGTCGTCGTCGTCGTTGTAGTCGTAGTCGTAGTCGTCGTGGTGGTGGTGGTTGTGGTGGGCGGTTACGGCGACGGTGTTGGTAGTGGTGGCGGCCGCGGTTGTGTTGGTGTTGGTGCTGGTGTTGCTGTCGTTGTTTGTTGTTATTCTGTTGTTGTTGTTGTTGTTTGACGTTGTTGTTTGTCGTTGTTTGTCGTCGTTGTTTGTCGGCGTTGTTTGTCGTTGGCTAGTGTTTGTCCTCGCTGTTTGTCGTTGTTGTCTGTTGTTGTTGTGTTTCGTCGTTGTTTTTCGTTATTATTGTTTGTCGTCGCTGCTTGTGGTCGTGTTTTTTCGTCGTTGTTCTTCGTGGTTATTGTTTGTCGTCGTTGTGTTTCGTCGACGTTTATCGTGGTTATTGTTTGACGTCAGTGTTTGTCGTCGTTGTTTTTCGTTCTTGTTTGTCGTCGTTGTTTGTTTGTTTGTTTGTTTTTGTTGTTGTTGTTGCTGTTGTTGTTGTTGTTGTTGTTGTTGTCTGTCGTCGTTGTCTGTCGTCGTTGTTTGTCGTCGTTGTTTGTCACCGTAGGTTGTCGTTATTGTGTGTTGGCGTTGTTTTTCGTCGTTGTTTTTGGGTGGCTATTGTTTGTCCTCGTTGTTTGTTGTTGTTGTTTTTTGTCGTTGTTTTTCGTGATTATATTGTTTGTCGTCGCGGTTTGTCGTCGTCGTTTCTCGTCGGTGTTTTTCGTGGTTATTGTTTGTTGTCGTTGGTTTTCGTCGATGTTTTGCGTGGTAATTAATTGTTTGACGTCGATGTTTGTCGCCGTTGGTTTTCGTTCTTGTCTGTCGTCGTTGTTATTTGTCGTTGTTTGTCGTCATTGCCTGTCGTCGTTGTTAGTCGTCGTGGTTTGTCACCGTACTTTCTCGTTATTGTGTGTGGTCGTTGTTTTTCGTCGTTGTTTTTGGTGGCTATTGTTTGTCCTCGCTGTTTGTCGTTGTTGTTTGTTGTCGTTGTTTTTCGTCGTTGTTTTTCGTGATTATTGTTAGTCGTCGCTGTTTGTCGTCGTCGTTGGTTTTCGTGGTTATTGTTTTGTCGTCGTTGGTTTTCGTCGACGTTTTGCGTGGTTATTGTTTGACGTCGATGTTTGTCGTCGTTGGTTTTCGTTCGTGTCTGTCGTCGTTGTTATTTGTCGTTATTTGTCGTCGTTGCCTCTCGTCCTGATTAGTCGTCGTTGTTTGTCACCATACTTTCTCGTTAGCTAGTGTTGTCGTTGTTTGTCGTCGTTGTTTTTCGTGGCTATTGTTTGTCCTCGCTTTGTGTCCTTGTTGTTTGTTGTCGTTGTTTTTCGTCGTTTTTGTTTGCGTGATTATTGTGTGTCGTCGCTGTTTGTCGTCGTGGTTTCTCGTCGTTGGTTTTCGTGGTTATTGTTTTTCGTCGTTGTTGTTCGTCGACGTTTGTCGTCGATGTTTATCGTCGTTGTTTTTCGTTGTTGTCTGTCGTCGTGGTTCCTGTCATTGTTTTTCGTCGTTGCCTGTCGTCGTTGTTTGTCGTCGGTGTTTGTCACCGCAGTGTGTCGTTATTGTGTGTTGTCGTTGTTTTTCGTTGTTGTTTTTCGGGATTATTATTATCGCTGTTTGTCGTCGTAATTTCCCATTGTTGTTTTTCGTTGTTATTGTTCGTCGACGTTGTTCGCGGTTATTGTTTGACGTATTTCAGCGACCTCAGCGACCACGTCTATCGAAACGCCTACCTCCCAACGTGTCGCGCCGTCGTAACTCTCGGTTTCGCTAAACTTGGGGCGGTCATTTTTTCGTGCTGCCTGTGACGACAGTGAACGTGCTTTGTTGACGTTTGATCTATAATTGATATATAGAAAAACAAAAACAATAACAATAAATATTATTAAGAATGATAACAATGATAATAACGATAATAATGCAATAACAATAATAAAAACAATAATACATAATAAAATGAATAAATAAAAATAAATAAATATATATATATATATGTATGTGATATTATGATCATACTATATATATATTTATTATAAGGGCGCATTAGGATCCGAACGGCGCATTTCTTCATGTCACGCCGTGTACTGTGAATCGTTCTGGTTGCTCGCTTTCGTTGGTGGCCACGTTGCGCGATGATTTTCCGGCCCAGGGAAAACCTGAAGGAAACTGTAAGATGTGTGATAGATGTCGATACTGAAACCATTGGATACTGAAACCCGATATTGAAAAAAACATGGGAAAAACGAAGGTGTCCAATGGTTTCCATGTATTTCTCAAATCATCATAGATCCACCTAACCAGAGAAAAAGCCCAGTGCCGCAGCAGAATTTTTCCACAGCAGGGAGCGTTGTCTTTGGCACGGCTTAGTGCGTCACGGTGAAAACATGATGTTCGACGATGAGAAACTATCCAACAGTTTCTGGCTTCTGGTGGCTGGATTTCAACCTCCACTTGTTTTTTTTCCAATCTGGCTTGGTCTATCCAAAAAACATTCCATAGGAACTACCCTCTGGTAATATTAACATAGCTATTGAAAATCACCATTTTCAATGGGTAAATCCACTATAAACGGCAATTTTCAATAGCTATGTTAAATTACCAGAGGGTATCCTATACATCCGGATGAGTCAGCAGCTTCAGTGATTCGGCTCTTGGGCTCGGCCCCGACTTGGTTCGGACTCCCTTGCGTCTTAGCTCCCAAAAAAAAATCACTGGTTGGTGGTTTTAACCATCTTGAACAATATGAAAGTCAATGGGAAGGAGTATCCCATATAATTATGGAAAATAAAAAGTGTTCCAAACCACCAACTAGATCACTATGCCTGCAAACGCATGGAACATGAATGAACATCTGCAATCGCATGTGAGATGTTGGAACCCACCAACCAGGGCTTGATTCCACCCTCGGAATCAAGCGCTACAAAAGCTATCCTTCAGATAATCGAAGAGAGCCAAATACACCTAGCAATGACTGGGCGCATGAAATGGATGGGGGATTTCAGCCAACAAGTGATGGGGCAACCAGGTACATAATGGGACACATAGTCTCCACAAGATGATATCTGATACTGTATGTGTATGTATATATATGTAGACATACATACTTGAGAACTTCTTAAGAACTGCAATGAAAGAACACAACTAATTTTGGGGTGTGCAAAGACCAATCAATGTTAGTTTCCGACAAGGTCAAGGTTGAATGTTGAACTGTTGATGCTAAACGCGCCCTGTTGAAGTTTGGGATAGCATTTCTCATCAAACAGTTGGAAATTAGAAAATTGACAACAAGAATCATCATATATAATCAATATATATATATATATATATAATCATCTCAAAATCCGTCACCAAATCCCAAGCCAACGTTATACGTGCCGTTGGCCAAATCATCCAACGAAAAACGGTCGCAACAACCAGCGCCGTCGCTGCCAAGATGCAGTGGTGTTTGGAACAGTCTTCACCTTGGACGAAGGAGATCATCATCCCCTATTTCTATGGTGGAACATCAAAATTCCATCTTAAATAAATCTAGTTGGTGGTTTTAACATGTTTTAACCATCTTGAAAAATATTAGTTAGTCAATGGGAAGGATTATCCCATATATTATGGAAAATAAACAATGTTCCAAACCACCAACCAGAAATGGTATGATGATGATAGTGAATATTAAATGAAGATGAACTCAATATTTAACACTTGTTGAACACTTATTGTTCAATAAAATCAATATATTTAAACGGTTCAATAAATAAATGGTATGATCATTATTTAAGTGTTCAACATTCATTTATCATAACAAGCCTGTTGAAGATAATCATCATGCCGGAACTATGTCTTTGTTAGACACATGGTGATTTCCTAAAAAAAATACCCCCAAATCATCCATGTTAATGGAAGTTTACCTTATAAAACATCCACTTTGGAGTACCCCCACTTTAGCAAACCCCCACATGGAACAATGACACGGAAATTTGTTGGATAAATGTGGATGCCACAAAGGTGGTGCCTCACTGAGCTACGTTCGTTTAGGTTCACTAGGATTTGTGCAAAATTTGAATATATATATAGTTATATGCATATATATATATATCTTTATTTATGTTAATATTTATTTATGTATTTATTTATTTATTTATATATATTGTGATGTATCACTATATATCACTATATATCACTATATATTCAAGTATACTGTATTACATGAGCGTTAAAAAACCAAGCAACATCAGACTTGGGGAGCACCACCTCGCCCGGGAAATCCTGATCAGTTTTCTTTGTCCCAGGTTCGTGACCCATAACATGATAGAACAACTGAAAATGGCCCATAGAAATAGTTGATTTACCCATTGAAAATTGTGATTTATAGTGGATTTACCCATGTAAAATGGCAATTTATAGCGGATTTACCTATTGAAAATGGGTGGATGTTCCATAGTTATGTGAAAGTTTACCAGAGGGTAGTCAGACATTTGTCTTTGTTGAGTTTTTTGATAAAACACAAGCAAAAAAAACAACCAATTCTAGGGGCACCATGGGGTACCCAAAAACCTGACCCATGGCACTTGGCGATTGTAGCTCGAGTTGACCTGTGAAGATCCGTTCGATCACTTCAGGTCACCAAAACCATGCACTTCAAGTACTCATTTATTATATTGACAAAATATACATTTTTTCCCCACCTGCCAGGTGAGGGTTGTTAGATTTTATCAGAGCGCATGCCCGCCTCCTCCTCCGCCTCCTCCTCCTCGACTAGCTGTCCTCCTCGCCCTCCTCCTCGCCTCCGCCTCTTCCACCTCCACTTCCGCCTTGCCAACCTTGCCAACTCGTCGCCAAGCTCTTCGCCCGCTTCCCAGCTCAGTGCGCACTGCTGGACGTCAACCTGCGAGCTGCCCAGCTCAGTGTGCACCGCTGGACCTCAACCTGCGAGCTGCCCAGCTCAGTGCGCACCGCTGGACCTCAACCTGCGAGCTGCCCAGCTCAGTGTGCACCGCTGGACCTCAACCGGGGACCTGCCCAGCTCAGTGTGCACCGCTGGACCTCAACCGGGGACCTGCCCAGCTCAGTGTGCACCGCTGGACCTCAACAGCCAGATAAAATGCCAGAAGATATGCCAGATAGAATGCCAGAAGATTTGCCAGATAGAATGCCAAAAGATATGCCAGATAGAATGCCAGAAGATATGCCAGATAGAATGCCAGAAGGTATGCCAGATAGAATGCCAGATAAAATGTCAGATAGAATGCCACAAGATATGCCAGATAGAATGTCAGATGATTTGCCAGATAATATGCCAGATAGAATGTCAGATGATTTGCCAGATAATACTCCAAAAAAATACCCTCTGGTAATTTGTTACATAGCCATTGAAAATTGCACATTTAAGTAGTTGATTTACCTATTAAATGATGGTGATTTTGCCATATGTTAAATTACCGGAGGGTAGACCATCCGGTTCTATCATCCCATTTGGAAACTATATGGACGTTGGATTCTATCCCCATCCCATGATGCTTCAATCAACATCATGGTTTGGGTATGGGTCAAAATTATGGATGACCCAATAAATATGTATGTATGTATATATATATTGATTAGTGTATATATATATATTGATTAGTGTATATATATATATATATCCCATAGGATCCATGTATGGTATATATGCTAACATTGGGGGTATATTGATGGTAAATGTGACCATATATAGCATACATGGATCCTATGGGATATGTATATATATATATATCATTAATGATCATTATAGATCCAATAATTCGAAACATCTACGGAAAAATACGATGAAATACGTGTGGTTTTTCATAGGGCATAAATTCTGACTCCAAGGTGCATAGTTCAAGGCGCATCCCCGGTATAGGCCACGCACAACTCCTTCCTGCGAACGTTGAAGCAACGCACGGCTACGTGGAGGCTTTTTTTTATGTGCCAATTGTTGGGAGTTCAAGGGAGTTCTTGGAATTTCATCAGCAACACATTGGGAAGTATGATTTAAGATGATTTAGGTATAAGTACTAATACAAATCTGTCAAAAAACATCTGGCCCTGCCAGTTGAACTGGATGGTCAGACACTCAGAGCAACCAGAAACCCAGAGATTTCGAGCAACACAACACGGGATTCAACAAGCAACGGAAACCTGCAACCTTCTAAAAGGGGCCCCCAAGATAGCTAGGCTGGATATTACCGATGACTAGGGCTTATGGTAGTTATACCATGTTATACCTAAGGTATCCTATAGATTCCTATAGTCTATAGTTCACACATGTTCACAGAGTCACCTAGAGTTCACAGAGTTTATAAACCAACTTATAACGAAAAAGGGCCACCTTGTAGTTGTCTCATGTTGTTTCCACACTTCGAAGTCAGCGAGATGGAGTCATCTCACTTTTTGGGATGGAAACCAACTATGTCAAAGTCGCGATGAATAAATGGAGGTACCAAGGCGATGGTTTCCCCACAATTCCAATGGATTCTCAACCTTCTCCTCCCTACTGAAAGCGTAATTTGAAAAATCTAAAATTGGCTCTGACTGTGGGTCTCTCCTATTTTCAGACAAACCCACATAGCTACTGAAGTTCTCAAAATTGTCACATCGGGCCGTCCACACCATCCCACTGTGCCCGGCGGTCGTTAGGGCCGCGTTTTCTCTCCTCTTTGTAGAGTCTCCACAGGCCACTGATGCTGCCAGGGTATTTCTCCTGAGTCTGCGTTTTGTGTCTTGACCAACAGATTGGCATGACCACCAGAATCGAAATGGCATGATGTGGATGCAACTTAAGATAACCAATAGTGAGGATGGTCTAGAACTATCCCCCAAATCTAGGCTACTGAAGGATTGACGAGTGGGTGGACCACCTTAAGCAGTAAATTCAATTCTCACTGATAGGGATACACATCTCTTCAGATTTCTTCAATTATATGACTCGCTTCTCACACTGCCATTGTCACACATGATTATCTTGACATCACTTGACTATCTTGACATCACTTGACCCATGAGACTAGATTATACATATTCATATGGAGGTTTCCTGAAATGGGGGTACCCCTAAATCATCCATTTGAATAGGATTTTCCATGAAATAAGCCAACCATTTGGGGATCCTCCATTTATGGAAATCCCCTTAATATTTTGTCACATAAACCCATGGGTTTGACCATCAAATACAGGAAAATCTAGGATCTGTGGTACCCTACTAGTAGTTTTTTTTCATAAGCCCCGTTGATGGTGGTTGATGGCGGTTGAAACTGTTAGGAACCCATAAAACCTCACGTGTCGGGAGGATTGACCATTGGGGATTAACATCAGATTTCAGGATAGAAACGTGGTTCCACGATGTGAATTAGATTATGTTTACACCTTCCAACATGTCCAGGTTTCATGTTTCCAACTCTTCAACAACGTAACTAAGTCCGGCTTGACTCTAAATCTTATTCAATCCCAATATTATTCGTACCACAAGACGGTGCTTCATGGTTGCTTGGTACAAAAAAATATGGGGAGGGGTTCTTAAACTGAGGTATCCCCAAGTCACCATAGGTTTCAATGTCTTGGATGATTTGGGATGATTTGGGGGTACCTCCATGGTGCATTTCCCATGGCATTTTCCAGAATGATGTTAGTTTACCCTGGGGCAACCAGCCATTTAAACATCTAGATTAAGTCATCCATGTTTTTTTCCCATAGCTAGGTTGAATCTTATCCATTTATCTAATTTTATCTAGGTATTTATCCATGTTCCATAGCTATGTTATCTTACTGGTGCTTAGTAGGGAATGGGGGAATGATCTATAATTGCTAGTAATAATCATCCCATTCCCCATTCCCTACTAAGCACCAGTAACTTATTTATCCATATAAATTTCGCACATCTCCACGACCGCACTAAGTCGTCCCGCCCGCATGGCAGGACCGCCCGTTTGCAGCCTCCGACGCCTGCCAGAAGATCCATGGGAAATTAGACGTCATGGGAATATACATGTTTAAATTAAAAATGTTGAAAGTAAAAAATAAAAAATCGAAATGTTGAAAGTAAACATATAAAATAAAAAACATCAGTCCAAAAAAACACACACAAAAAAAAAAGAGATGGAACTAACAAACATTGGAAATACTTGGAACATCATGGGAAAACTCATCATGAAAACCGTCTGTAACTGCGTGGGAGTGCATTTCCAGCGACAAGTGGGGGACCCTCCAAACTATTCGCAGTTCAAACATGTTTATGAGGTTTGGAATGCCATGGAAAATGGCCATGGTGATATCACCACATTCCTGCACCCCCAATAGTCAACCGTTTATAGATAAATCCTACGTTTCATGAATATTCCGTATCCCATGTATTTCTGATACGGTATTTTTCAAATCCATGGGTGAATCATTGAATCAGGATTTTCCTGAAGATATGTGTTCAACTGGCCATTTGGGCGCGAATGGCACCCCCATGTCTCAGATGGCAAGACATGGCTATCCCATGCATTCACCCATTAAATCCCATTCAATCCCAGCCTTCAAAAATCTTCAAACACCATTGGTGGACTATTTAAATTCCATTTACCCATCAAAAGTCCCAATGTTACCAGGCCATTTCTTTGGGTCAAAGGTTAACCGGACGAATTCCTGGTGAATTGGTCTGACCAACCCCCTAGGAGCCCTAGGATCCCGGCAACACGTCGAAGGGATACACAAAGGTTTGAGCCTCGGAAACGGCCAACCTGAGCGGCCAACCTGAGCGGCCAACCTGGCCGCCCTGTTTAGCTACAGGAACCCCCAAAAGTCATAGGAAAATCATAGAAAAACATGTAGGTCTTGGTGAAATCATAGGAAAATATAGGAAAGCATATGGAGGTTGTGGGAAAATCATATTAACAGTATAAGAACTATAATATATCTATGGGAAAAGTAATCATATAATCATTTTTTCAGGATTTTACTATTTTATCCTTTTGGTCTTCGCCATGACTCATAGAGGATATTATAGGTCGTATTGGTTTTATCACGGAGTTCTATGGGATTTATGGGATTTAAACAACACCGAAATGATCATATAAGCTCGATCTAACTTGATGGGGGATTTCACTTGGTTTTCCATCAAAGAACTAACCGACCCAATTGGGATTTCACCATATATAATATCACATATATATATATATATACAATTATTCCCTATCATTGTAGATTCCCCAAATACTTGATGTCCCAGTTGTAAAATAGACAACCACCTTCAACAAAGCCGAAGAAAACATAGTGAAAACATTTGAAAACCAGAGAAGACACTCTGGCAAAAAGTGAGGCTGTGGCACTGTATGAGAAACTCACACTGATACCCTCTGGTAATTTAACATAGCTATTGAAAATGGCCATAGAAATAGTGGAATTTCCCATTCAAACTGGTGATTTTCCATAGTTATGTTAGTTTACCAGAGGGTACCCCAAAAGATGATGACCAGCCGAAGCAGCCGAAGCCCAGCCGCTGCTCTGAGGCTCCAACCATCACCCCAGCCAAGCCTCCACTCATCGCGCGGTGGAGCGCGCTGGGGGGACCATCCTGGAGCCGATTGGTGCAATGTGGAGTTCACCAGACTTGGGGGACTTCGAACAAGGATTTTTTTTTCGGATTTCACCAAACAGACCATTGAAGTTCTAAACTGATTTAGACGATTTATACGCAAAACAAAAAATGGAACTGTATAAGTTTCATTGAACATTTTATAGGAGGGTTTCCGTGAGCCAATCTCCCAATCTCCGGCACGAAACTGCCAACAGCCGGGATTTCACCCACAAAAAGGGACTTCAGCAGAGACACAACTGGCTGGGGAGTATCGCTATCTGATGGCTTTGATATACCCTCTGGTAAACGTTTACAGTTTGCTATTGAAAATGGTGATTTAGAGTGGATTTACCCATTGAAAATGGGTGGATCTTTCCATAGTTATGTGAAAGTTTACCAGGCCGGGTAACCATCAACACTGGGGAGGATAGCCTGCCACACATTGGGATGCTTCGGCCATGGCTTGAGAATGTTTGGTACTTTGAGCCCCAAAAACTATAAGCATGCCCTATCGTCAATGTGTTTGACTCAGAAAAAAAAAGATATCATCTATAGTAGTTGGAATATATCTCGATATTCTTTATTAGACTACATTATATAATATTATATATACAATGTGAGGCCCCCAAGATAGCTAAATTGGTTTATAACTCCAATTTCACTATGGTTTATGGTATTTATAACGAACTAGTTACTGGGGCGAATCTAAACCAACAAACATATCTAACGGGGGCCTCACATTCCACCGTCCATTGCTCCGAGATGGGCACCGGATCGGGCAACAAGTAGCGTTGGCACAAGTCCTCGGATCCGCTGTGGTGAAAGCCACGTCGGATTTCACCAAATCAATGGCTGCGGCGGGTGGGTTTTCCCATGAAAAATGGTGATTTTCCATAGTTGTGTTCACCACCAGCCAATATATATATATTGTATATATATATATATATTATATATATTATATAATATATATATATATATTGGCTGGTGGTTGACCTACCCCTCTGAAAAATGATGGAGTGAAAGTCAGTTGGGATGATGATTATTCCCATATATATATAATATAGATAATATTATATTATGGAAAAAAACAATTCATGTTCCAAAGCAGCAACCAGATGGGAATTTCAAGATCCCATGGGATATTCTCTGAAATTTAAGCCTCACAAATAGGCCTTATATATGGTATATATATATGGTATAGATGGTAGCTGCAACGAATCGGTTCCTTTTGCATGGCCATTGATCAAACATGACCTTTTACACTGAGGATTCAATGTGATGTAATCATGAAACTCTGGGGAAATTGGGATCTTCCCCCGAAAAAAAACCGTGATATGTGACAGAGTCACCTCAGGACCATCATCTGTTGGGATGACAAGTAAGAATCAAACTTAGACTATTTTCACATTTCACATGTTTTCATGTATATATAAACTATATATAATATATATATATATATATATGTTGTGGATATGTTCTTAACCATTGACAAAAAAGGGATCTAGATTTTGCTGATGCAGGATGTGTTCAATCATTCCAGTGGCGCCTTCGCTATGACAATATGTCCCATGTCTAAGGCAAATAGACGGTATAGCCGTATAGCTTCTATAAACAACATGGGGCACTTCCCACAACACGTCCCAGTAAAATGAGGTAGGACTCATATATTGTTTATCACCTTTAACTGCTATTTTGGCTATTCCTGTTCTTGTGAATTTTGACATCATCAATGAATGAAATTCTTCCACAAAGAACAGCTGGTGAGTATAAATCCTTCTAGTAAATCTATTATCAACATATTCACTATACTAAACTATCCATCAACCTCATGATACTCTGAAAACAAAGTGATACAAATGTTATAGCGTATCCTTCCCTATTTAAAGAGCAACAAAATTCACCCGTTGGTGGACCCACTTCGCATCTGTCAAAGTCTCCTTCGAGGCATCATAGCTGGCAAACTTCAAGCCACAGTAGATGGCAGCTCCAGTCATGGACACCTCGATGTTCAAACCATCGAACTACCCCCTCTGGTTAATCAAAAGAAATAGAAATGATGGTTTTCCATGCTTTTCCCATGGAAAAACATTTATATTAACTACCATGGTTTTCCACGCTTTTCCCATAGAAACAATTGGTAACTACCATGGCCCTGGTAAAAATCAAAATGTACTACCCTCTGGTTATCGAACTACCTACTGTTGCAACCATGGCACATAGAAATAGATCGTACATTAAACATGATAATTTAGCTAGCTATACCATGGTGATGTTCCAGTTCGCTACGTCAAATTACCAGAGGCTCATTACTAAATGGGAATATCATTGCCCCCCGGAGATATAAAGGGGATATGATTGGTGATTGGAGATATAATATGATATAATGGCATATTCATATACTAACGAAATATTTGTTGACACCCCGAACGGCAATGACCCACAGTTTGCCATCGAACATGGCCATGCTCATCCATGCTCCACAGGCAAATCATCTACCAAGGGGTGATTTTCCGTGGCTATGTTATTGTAAAATTACCAAAGGGTACAGATTTTCGTGCAGAAGTCACCATTTATGATGGTGGATGTCCTATGATGTCCTCTTCTGGAAATAAAACCATCACACGAAGCACAGCAAATGCAAAATAGCTTGGTCTGGACATGAAATACCCCAAACAATCCCAAAATTTCTTTCATTAGATCAACGAATTGATCAATGAACCTACAATTCGCCCTTGTGCCTTGAAATATCTTGAAATCTTTTTGGCTAAATCAAGTCCCAACGTTTTTTTGCTCGTCCTAATAGTCAAAAAGAGAAACAAACCGCTTTTCCCCGCTGAAAATCTTGCAACATCCACTACCATGAGGAGATCCAGTGAACGGTGTGTCTGAAAATGGGATCACCCACAAGATGGCCAATTACCCTAGGGTTTTTACGTTTAGACGTGCAAAAGCCACCATTTCTAGATTTTTTTTTCCGAACGGGAAACCATGGGAGTTTTCCATATCTTTCTGTAAGTTTACCAAATGTTTACCCTAGGACATATTAAGGGAAACTGATGGTGCACCAATGGATTTCGGGATACCTTCCGTTTATTTTGACATAGCTATTGAACAAATCCCAATTTATACCATCTGGTTATTTAACATAGCCATGGAAAATCACCATTTTTCATAGGTAAACCCAGGTAAACCATCTATAAATGGGCAATTTTCCATGGCTATGTTAAATAACTAGAGGGTAGTTGATTTAACCATGAAGGAGCGTGTTCCTTCGTAGATGTTGTCTCAATATCACCAAAATATTCTCAGAGGATTAAAGATGGTGATTTTCCATAGCTATGTTAGTTTACCACAGGGTATATCCCTAGGTTTACCATGTTACCATGGTGAAGCTGCACCCCCTGGGAAGCCCTGACGCCAGCACCAGAATACAGGGCACGCAGGCCACCCTGAGACTGGAGAAGACTTGGTTTCGAAACCTGGATTTAAAGCAATCAACATGGGAATTTGACTCAAGCTGACCACCAAAAAAGATAACACATGCAGATGTGGCTCATTAGATGTGTCTGAAATTTTATGAATATATGATCATAATGATGACTAACCTGAAATGCTCGGTTGTTTTGGGATAGATACATCTATCATCTTCACCTTAAACCTGAAGTTGTGGCCACTTTAAACCAACGCAACAAGTTGAAATTTTCGTCGGACATGTGCTAAAACCACCTAGAATCAAGGCCCCTGATTAGTACAAATCACCATTTATAAAAAAAAAATATATATTCAGTTGTATACTAGACTGTGGATCCAGTCGCTTGGCCCAGAATTCTCATATTATTGGTCATATATATATATATATGCTATGAGTTGATTCCCATTCAAAATCCTATTCTACCACTGTACTTATCCAAGGTGATCCATTCCATTCCATTCCCCACTCAGACAGACCCAAATAGTAGGCAGATTTTTGCTTGTTCCCCATTGTTTTTCTGGCTTATCCCATGGGTAAACCGCCCCATGGTCACCACCAAGAAAAAACACCTGAAACCCAAAACGATGCCGAAAGGTCAAATCCAATCCCAAACCCAAAATCGTGGTGAAATTGGCCTACTTCTATCTTGTTTGGGGACCCTATAACTATCATGTGCGGCCGGGAAATTCTGAATGAACGTAGGAACTACAACAGGCTCCACATGATAGTTATAGGGAATATGGATACCCTTAGCTCACCATTGGAATACCCCATGCCAGTTACAAGTTGAATCATTAGCTCCATGAATACTATAGTTATCGCTCCCATTCAACAACCCAAATGAATTCACCAAGTAGTATATGTTCACCAATTTGGTTATCATAGATCAACTACAAATTCAAATTTTCCACAACACAACCAGAGGGTAATTGTAAATCAACTCAGCCCATTGATATCCATTAATTAGATCCCGTGAAATACCATCAAATATCCTATAATGTCAGTAAAGCACCGGTAAAACGTACATAATTTGATGTTTTATACAAACTATTTCTGGTAAAATTTGGGATGGCTTACTATTGCTTTACCAACATTAATGCCTATCATATGTTCATGAATATCCATTAATGTTCATAGTTAAATCATCATTTAGAAAGAAAAAACATATTAAAATACATTTTTTTATACCGTGACAAGATCCTTAGATATCCTTAGCCTATACTGCCTATCATCATGGCTGTTGTGGCTGCATTTCCCGCCCTTCCGGGCCCTTCCAAACCCCGAATGCGCCTCCCGCCACACTTCTCGCACGGTACCCAGCATCGACCTACCAAAGCGTGGTGAATTTTGCCGAGTAAAATTTTGTGATTTCACCGGTTTAACCGACAAAAAATGGCAAATCAACCAACTAATATCAATCATTATCAATCAAATATCTGAGTTTGGCATGATTTAGCATGATTTTACAAACTCGTCATCTTATGCGTTGGTGCAAACAAACGTGTCTTCAAAGATACATGGATGACGGTGTCGCTGAACGGGTAAATCATCTCTCTTTTGGGCCAAAACATCCAAAATCATCCAACATTTGGCCAAGACCCATATGTTAACCGCTTTTCTTTGCTTCCAAAACCAAGACTCACGGTGACTCACGCATTTCGAAGGACTCAAGGAAGTGTTAAATCAGCCGGAGACGATCCAAAAAGCACCAACCACTTGGTAAAATCAACAGCTTCACTCTCAACACCATGACCGAACACATGTTGCAGAAATCCAAAGGCAAACAAACAGACGTAAACAAAGTCGTAAAACAACATTGGCCTACGGAACATGGCCAAGTTGTAGATGATTTATATCCATTAAAAATAGTGATTTCATAGGGTTTTACTGGGAAATTTCCTTTCTCAATGGCCATTTGTAGATCATTTACCTTCTAAAGCCTGGCAAAACCTTCGAGAATTTCCCATCTCAGCTTCCAACGGCATCTCTTTTGCCCCTTGCTCCATCAACAGGGCCTCAACATGGACCCAATGGAACCATAGTTTATTGCTATTGTTATTGTGTTTTCATGTTTGGTTGCATTCTACAATGATGCGTGAAAAACCAGGCTTGATGGCCATTGATGGCTACTTAGGGGGTACTGTGAAATATAAACGACAAGTCATGGTTTGGTCGATTGATCCTGTTCCCCTGATGCAAACAAACTTTATCTAAATAACTAAGCCAATTTATCGGTGAAGTCCGACTTTTTTCTGCTGTGTGTTTTCATTTTTTTCCGAACTTGTTTTCTCATTGAATTCAGTCAAGTCCGATAGTTCTATTCTAATGGTTTCGGTTAATTATTTATCACGTCTCCTGTTCTCATGGTTGGATAATCCCATAACAACTTTTCAGATGGCAATGTGGGATCACGACAGGTAGCAGCTTTGCCTCTTGGAGCATCATTTCATGTGACGACCCTCCAATGGCTGGGCTCGCACACCATGCGCGCCCGCGCCAGATCCAAGGGATAGGTGCAGAGCACTGCAGTGAGGCCTGCGCCTCCTGGGCAATGGCTTAGTTCACCCCAGCTCAGTGAGATAAGTAGCAACCATTGAACAAACACCAATTTATCCACTGGACAAACTGATTATATATTTATATATTATCATTGAAAATGGGTTATTACCTCACCTTCATCCACTGAAAAAAACTGGGGTTATAAGCTACGAACTGAGATGAGCCACCATAAGAAGGGATTTCTATGGAAACACATGGAGGAATTAGCAGGTTTAACCATCAAATCAGAAAACAAACTATAACATACTATAACTATAGGAAACCCATGGTTTTTTGCCACCAAAAAGGTAAGGGGGTTCCGATTCCATGTTGCCCTTAAACCAATCCAATGATTGCGGGTTTCACCAGGAGAACATGGGGATTTCACATGATTTAACCAGAAAGACGTGTCTTTCTGCATAGGTGGACTAAGTAATGTCATTGAGTCATGTTCCACTGTGCCATTCAAACCTGCATTTATATTCCCAGCCATATAACATGCTAGTATAGCCCTCCACTTTTCGGAAAGATCCATTGCACTTGTCCGACTATACCCCCATCAAAACCATAAATGATTTGGGCTGCAAAAATGGAAAAGGTCCAATACTAGACCAGTGTTTTGGGAACGGGATATCTATTGGGGGGAAGGGGTAGGTAATGTCAGTTTCCATTGCACCATTCAAACCTCCATTGACGTTCCCAGTTCCAACATGCTACAACCCTCCACTGCTATAGAAAAATACATTGCAATTTTCCATTACATATACCATCAAAACATCCATTTATAGATAATTTTCTGATTCAGAGTTTGCAGCTGGCAATTTTCCATTATACCTGTGCATCTCTCCCAGTTTCCAACCACAAACGCTGCCCTCTGGATCACCAAAAACCATCAAAAACCAGCGTCCCAGAAGCCTGTCCTCCTGCCAAAAATTTCTGAACCTGTTCATGGGCATGACAAACTTCCACGTGCATTCAAAAGTCAACTGTGCACTGATTGACATGAACATACGACCAGAATTTATATCTGGTTGGTGGTTGACCTACCCCTCTGAAAAATATGACTGAGTCAATGGGAAGGATTACCCTCTGGTAAATTGACATAGACCCTGAACATGACCAATTTCTAGTGGAAACTAATCTTCCAACCCCTATCTGGCAGGGTCTATGTTAATTTACTGGAGGGTATCCCATATATGATGGACAATAAAAAATGTTCCAGACCACCAACCAGATATGATTTTTCCCATGAAAACCTCCATTTTTGTTGGTGATTCCCCAGCCATGTTTGATTCTTGGCTAGCTACATCATATCCCATATTTCAATATGATCGCATTGTATCCACATTTATCTGGGAAAATTATAATATTTCATTAACTTGAATTAAGACCATTTGGGGATGATTCCCCTTACTAACCATGATTCCAGTGAGGTCGCAGTGAGGTCGTTATAATTTACCCACATTTATGGATTTTTGTTCAATGAACTCCCGTTTTATCTTATAATGCCAATCCTAATGCAACAACGGGCTGAACCAAACATCTTAACGCAACAACCGGCGGCTCACGCCTCGGGCGTGACGGGGAGTGAACCTGCACCGTTGGTGGCCCACCACTGGTTGAACTTCATTGTGGTAGGCAACGATAGGGAAGTGACCTTAGGGAAGTCATAGACTTAAAGCCTTCAAATTCAGGTTTCCATAGGTTTCCATAGCAGTGGGGTTATCTCCAAATGATCCCAGTCTTGCCACATGACTTAGTATTGCCACTTGGGGATTCCTCCCAGTTCATGGGATTCATCATGGATACACGTGATGCTACAATTGCTTGGTGGTATACCATGAAAAATGGTGATTTTCCCATGAAAATGGTGATTTTCCATAGTTATGTGGATGGAAATGATACATATATATATATATACTGGTTGGTGGTATACCTACCCCTCTGAAAAATGATGGAGTGAGTAACAGTTGGGATGATGACATTCCCGATATATGGATCAAAATAAAAGCAATGTTCCAAACCACCAATTTCAATTTCTCCAATTTCAGCGTCGCACAGGCTTAGTTAACGAAGCCAGCGCTTTTCACTGCTCCAAGCTAGGCATTCCCAGGGAACAATGCGTCCCGCCTGGGTACTGGCAAGTGGTCGAGCTCCTTGGATTGTCGCCTAAAAGGTTTCTGCGAAAAGCTGAAGAACCACCGATCAATCGCAGTCAAACGTGCAGCAGGCCATGGAACAGCAAGGCAGCTTGAAAACATGGCTATCATCTCACTGTGCGGTCTCACATACGCTGAGGAAACTGTTGCCCCCGAATGCCGCAGAATTTCACGCAGAACTTTTGCAAAAGATCGCACTCTTCTCTTGAAACCAATTGACAGAAGGCCTTGCAGAGGCAAGCTCGAGCCATCAATCCATCCACCATTGTTCAAAGGTCCCACCTTTCCTGTTGCAAGCCCATAGTCAACGAAAAGCTGTGCATAAGACACCCAAAGAGGAGGAGTTTGGGGGTCATCAACAATGGGCCAGAACCAGTCAACAATCTTACGCACTATGCTCATCCCATACCAACGCACGGCACCCTGAGGTAGGTCTGACAATTCAGGCAATGACTTCCATAGAGGGACGTCAGGCGGAGGTGTGGGGACAATGTCAGGTTTCGGCTCTGCATGGTCCTGCTGCTGCAAAATTTGTCGACTGACCTGAAGCAACACACCTTGAATTTGGGCGTTCCAAGCATCAACCTTCTTACAATGACATGCCTATGCAGAAGAGACCAGAATGAGCTAGGACGTCGATCCTGAGCCAAAGCTGCCGCCCTATCCGCAAACTGATTATGCTGGAAACACCACTCTTCAAGGGGTGATGTGGCATCTTCACCGCAACCTTAGTGCACTGGACCGTGAATCCCCCACCCTGCAAATCATTCTGAATCAGCAACCACAAGTCAGCATTAGGAGAGTTAATCTTAACGCCTACCCCACCAAGAATTCGTCGAAGTCTTCGCACAACAGAAAGGCAGTCGGACCAAATCATCAGGTTCACCTTCTGTTGAGCGGCCATTCTAACAACTCGATGGACAGCATAGAGTTCAGCCCTGACCGAAGTCTGTCTCAAGCCAGGCAGCGGACCACTATCAATGACTTGGGACATATTCTGCATGGTTGGGTCTGCCGACACAACCGCATAGGAGGCAAATCTGGTATCAGGGTAAGCAGGATTAACACAGCTACCATCCGTGAAAACATGAAGAAGCTCATAGGTGCCTGCCGGCAGCACAGGAAGAGGCAACGGAACAACTTGGCTAAGGTAGCTATACCACTCCAAGCTGGTTGTAGGACGTAAAGCCCATCCATAACTGGAAACGCATTCAGGCAGTTGCGGCAAGTATGCACGAAGTTCATCACAAAGGCCTAATCTATGCTGCTGAAAAGTGTCACAAATCCAAAATCTGTGGAATCTGGAGTCCACACATTGGCAAAATTCACAAACGTCGGATTCACTTTCCTGGCAGTGGTGTTTGGCGTCTTGGGTGATATGAGCACCGTTCAGCAGTTTTCGATATGCAGCCCGATCAGCAACTGATAGCGATGACAACCATTTCCTTGTCCTGCCTGGATCAACGCGATCAAGTTCACACAAACCAGGTCTATGCGCAACACTCGCAGCAACGACCTTTAACCAAGCCCATTCCATTCTCCAGCGCAGCTCCTCCATGCAAACATCAAAAAGGGACAGGTGCCCAAAGTCATCAAATAAGCATCCATTGCCCCGAACATGCCATCCAAGGGTTTGTAACCGAGTCAAGAGAGTGGCCGAAATGCCATTTCGCATGATTCCATCAGCATCATTCACAAGCGCACTTAAAGCACTCCCTACCACTTCGGCAATTCCACAATCTCTAACCAACCTAACAGTCTGCAAAATTGACCAAAACTGCGGATCTGTATGTGCAGGTTCGATCAAACCAAGTTGAATCATCGCATTGCAGCCAGCTCCTGCGGCTTGGAGTCCCTTCATTGCTGCCGCTCTCAAGGATGAAAAGGTTTGCGCCGCCAGAGTCGTGGCAGCGATCGCATGCAAGGCTCTCGGCCACGCAGCAGTGCGGATAGCCCGAACTTTCAGCTCATATGGCGAGGCAGAAAGCCTGAGCCTAGACCACATTCCCTGCATGGTGTCAATCCGTTTCATCTGCGTGGAATTGGTGTGCTTTTGGGAGATTTGAACATGCGCCCCCAAGACTCGGCAGCTCTGCTCTATCTGAAAGCCCTGTGAAATCAAACTCTTTCTGCCCTCACTGCAAACTGACCAAGCAAAGGTTTTCCTGGCATCAAGCAACATGTCAAGGGCTTCCGTAAAACGCTGAAGACACCTTTGAATACCCTCAAGCATGGAAGGTGCAGTGGTGAGGATGGTCCAATCGTCCACATACGAAACCGGTTGACACAAGGGAAAGAAATGAACATGCCACTTGTGAAAAAGCACATCAATGATTAACATCCCAAGACATGAGAGACCATCTCCTTCCGGCAATCCTGTTGAGCTGAAAACTGGCTTAGTAAGATTCGGACCAATCTGAAACCTTCTGCCAACCAAAACAAGTGCTCCAGCCCAGGCTGTGAGCATCGGCATGGGCAAGCCCAGAATGGCGGCTGCTTCAAAAACGACTATCCGAGGACCGAGGAATGTAATTAAACGCTTTCTGCAAGTCAGCAATCAACCCAGTCAAAGCAACCCCTTCAGAAACAGAGGATTCCACAGCCCACAACAGCTGACTCCAAACTTGCCCGGCAAATCTGGCTGGTCTGCAACCGTAGAGTGTGTCTGGCAGTGAACTATCAAGAGCTCGAATGGCAAGCTGAGCTTGATAGGAGCTCCAAATGCGATACAACATGCTCAAAATAGTGATCGGACGATAGTCACCAACAGAACTGGGCTGATCCGTTTTAGCAAGGCAGACCACTTTTCCCATAAGCAGTTGAGAAGGCCACTCACCAGAAATTTCAGCTGTCCGAAAAATATCACAAAAAGCTGCCACTGCATTTCGTGGCATTTGTTGCAAGTCAGCTACCGTGACACCATCCAGGCCTCCAGCAGAAGCTCGCCTTTTCCGTCCAACAATTTGAGTAAACAAATCGGCATCAATCGAGGGCCATTGCATTGAAACTGGTCTAAGATTTCTCCTAGCAAAATCCAAGATAGTTTGCCAGCGGTCATACGGAACATTTCTGTGTCGATCCCACCTGGCTTTCCAAGCATCAACAAAAGCACTCTCAAGGTCCTGCTTGGTACCAGTACTGCGGAGTTGAGAGACAATCATGCCAACAACTATGGGGTCAACCTGGTTCAGCCATAAACAATCCTCCTCAGCATGGATAATTTGAAACGTCCTCCCTTGGCACAGCACAGGACGGTCAGGGATCCAATGTTGAGGGGGATCAACAACAATAGAACAATCCTCACGAACTTCAACAACCTGAGCAGTAAGAGATTGCAGCAAGTAATCAACACCAGCTGTGGGGGAACCTTTCAGATCTCGAAAGATCATGTTAGGCTGTTGAGCACGCCGTAAACGAGCATACTGTCGCGATGTGGACTTCAACTGTTTTTCAAACTCACGAACATTCATGACAAAGGATTCAAAAATTTTCGTGGCAGCTTCAACACAAGGTGGAAACCAAGGCAAATGTGACGGCGCACCATGAACTTTAAGCGGACAGGAAATCCACCAATGAGCAAAACTTCCTACAAATCCAGAGGCTTTCATAACCGATCCCCAAACCCGAACAGAGTGTTGGCTAGGAACATCAGCATCTGTTCGGCATCTGCAAAAGGCCTGAAGCCGCCTAACCTGACGAACCCACTGGGCATATCGAATCGATGAGCCATGGAAATGTGGTTGGAATTCACCATGTCTCCCAACTTTGACAGGAGCAAATTTTCCTGATTTCACAGCCTTAGTGGTCATAGTTTGTGCACGACCTTTGGCTTGTTTGGATACCGAAAAGGGCAGCTGAGAACACGCACTATCTTCAATCATGCGCCAAAGGTGTGAGTACTTGGCATCAGCATCACCATCACCACAGTTCCACAATCCATCCGGCAGTTGAAGGTCAGAAGGCCAAGGGAAAGGCTTCGGCATGAACCAAACATCCCTTGGCACCGATTGCCGCAGCCTATTGACGTGTCCTTGTACCACTGCGTGGTCTGGCCAAAGATCGTCGATAACAGAAACATGAACCAGCAATTCTTGCATTTCAGGCGATATGTAGCAGAAATCTTTTCTCGTGCTACTTTTGCAGGTAGCTTGAGGCAGGAAGCCCCATCTCTCCGCAGCAAGATCTTGTAGGTCCTTAAAACCGAGTTGGGCCAAAGAGTCAAACGCAGGCAGTTCACCCTGACACACGTTCCAATCCCCTGCTACAAACCTCGGTCCAGTGGAAAGAAAACAAATAGACGAGATGACTGCTTGTAGCAGAGCTTCATTGTGTTGCAAACGTCGTGGATAATGTTTGCCATCAGGTTCACCATATACCACTCCCCCAGTAATCCAAACATCATCAACAAGCGAAGTCACAACCATTGCACGTGAT